TTGATGATGATGTCTTAACTAAAATAGTTAAGACATTCAAACACAAACAAATTTCATATTGAAGTCCTACTTTCAATAGGCTTGCCTGTTATTACATATTACAGTTGTTTAAAATTGAGGGTGTAATACACCTCTGTTTACCCCTTGGGGGATAAGGGCGTGAATGTATAAATTAAAATAAGATCACACTCCTTTTTCTTAACATTCTCTTTCATTAAAAAAAATAATGCTGATTATCACGTAACATTTAATATTTTCTACGCAGGACAACATCACTGCAAAGAGAAGGAAAATTTGACATGGTATAGTAGGCCAAAACCTCCTTTCTAAGGAAAGGCCTATGTTCAGCAGGCGACTATTAAAGGCTGTTGATGTGATGTGACGTAACATTTGCCATGCTTTTATCCTCCAGCGCCAATATTTTCACAGTACTAGTAAATTAAAATTATTACACAGAGATAAGGTCGAATCTTATCAAGTGTAGGTATTATGTGATGAAGCCTTTTTAGTATTACCTACATATTCCGTACGTAAAAGACCGACTCTTTATTCAAAATTAAAAAAAAAATGTGTGCTGTTTATGTTTTTGTTTTGTGAAAGCAGTTTATTTTTATGTAATACATTTTTTACATAATGCTTAAATCATGCTAATCACAGTAATATAATTATTTAAATGCTTTGGTAAAGACTGAAAAAGACTATAAGAGTCAATTCTGATAAAACGTTTAGATTATAGTTATGGAAGACCGCTCATGGTAGAACACTCGTCTAATCTCACCCGTTTGGTTTACACCCGTTTCCGTGATGTAGTGGTATCAGTCCAGTCGAGTCGGCCCGGCGGGCCATAAAAATCGAAGCATGGCCCTCACACTGACACGATACTCATTTCAATTCTTATGTCACTTTAAATATCAAGATTAATTTATCGAATTAGATAAATAATTCTACAGTACAGTAGTTGTTGATAAAATCAAATCAGTTTCTTGTTATTAAACGTCAAAACGTGCTATAAAAATGTATCACATCAACAGCCTATACTAGTCCACTGCTGGACATAGGCCTCTCCTTAGAAAGGAGGTTTTGACCTACTAGGTATACCACGCTGGCCAGACAGGTTGGTATAAGTTTTGTTTCAAGTTTTCCTTCTCTTATAAAAATGTATGCAACTATGCAATAAGCACAATGACGTTATACTACACCATATTTACTAAACCAGTAATTTAGCGATTAAAAATCATAACAAGAACGTAAATTATTATGATTCATAATTATTTTATATAGATACAATCACGCCTATACGTCTTTGCCTACCCCTACGAGGATAGTAGGGATAGGTAAAGACGTATTATCAACCATTGAGTTAAAACAACACTAGAGAAGCAAACCTCATTATCACACGTCGAAAAAAGTGTAACCACTTTTGAACTTTGACGACGTAGCTTTGATACCACGAAACATTTGAAAGTAAACATATTTATGTCTCATTTACACGCGAGACAAGAACAATACCATCGCTCGGATTAGACAAAGACAAAGACATAACTTTACGATGGTGGGCCAGTGTTGACTACCGTATGAAATTTTACCCATAACAACCAAGAAACAATTTTTTTTTAAAACAATTTTGTAATAAAATAAATTAATTTAAATATTTTAAATAATATATTTCGAATTGAATGGAATAGGTATAAATAATAAAATAACTAGAAATATTTGGTTAAAAGGGTTTATATTCAGTGTAAAATCAAACTCCGCTATGAAGCATCAGTTTTGTATACAATTGTCTTTTAGACGCTTTTTTATAAGTTTGTGTGAATATTTTACTTTCATGATACAATCTTATTTTTACCTATGTATAAATAATGGCATTTAATACCTAGTAAAAGTGAATGATCAACTTGTACTGTTAATAAATAATCCCCAGGGTGTATTGCAAATTCTTTTAATATTTTAAAATACAAATAAAAAAAATATATAAATTCTTTTTTGTTTTTTAACTTTTTTTATTTATATTTATTTACTTTTTTATATTATATATATATTTTTTTTTGTACAATCCTTATTTATATTTGATAATTAATTAAGAAAAATGAATGAATGAATTAATTAATTCTTTTATACAAAAGTCTCCAGCACTGCGAGCTTGGCAGGAGGTGAACGTTCAACGGGTCCCTAAAAAAAGTGATCGATTTAGCCCTAACAACTACCGTTCTTCCTATATTATATTATTATTGACAAAATGTTTAAAAACAGTATAAAGCATATTATTTCATAAATTATAAATTCTCCCACTAATGTGGGAAAACAAAAATGATTTTTTAATGGTAACACTGATTCTAAATTACAATTATCAATGTTTTTTTTCAATTATAGCCTTATTTACGATATTATCAATATAAAAACCATAAACTTACACGTGATAAGTAATTCCGCATGATTTATTATGGTTTTGTGACCTTGAATCGCATTCTTTCACTACGCATTTACCCATTTTGGCGATTGTTACTGTCATGTGTCGCTATGTTCAACTCGGTTGACGCCACATTGAATACTGAATTGACGTTTGCTACGCATATGCCTGTGGACATATGTGCAGTAGCAACGATTTTAGGCGGTAATTACTCATCTATGTAAGTATTATATCAATGTTATCAACTATAAATTTAGTTCCACTTACGGCACGTTCGGCTCTTTTTGCCGCGAAACCACAACAGAAAATAAATTATGATTCTTTTTTAAAAATGGAGGTCAATGTTGTGACATTTAATGACATTTTTATCACAATCAATTTAATTGTGTCGTTTTACTTTTTTTTATGAAATATAGATATTTTGACTTTGTTTTCCATTGTAGAAAGCGCTCTTACAGATAAATCTCAATCTTACTACATATGTATATGACAAACAAATATTAAGTTGTGCATAAATTACGCAAACAGTATTTGTGCTTAAACGCATGATCTATACAAATATATAAAATTGGAGTGTCTGTTTGTAATATTAAAATAACCGTTTTTGAATAAATGCATATGTATGTTTACACGGTACATATACCAAAATAACATTTTTTACAATTTTTGTCTGTCTGTCTGTTAGATTACCCGAATGTATGTTTCTAAAGTCCCCCGCGACACAGGTATGTATTCCTAATGCGGGAGTTGTCTTTTTTTAAAAGAAAAAAATATATGAAAAAGTGTATCATTAAATTGCATTAAAAGTTTTTGACAGAATGACCTATTGAATATAGTATGAAAATAATAAGAAATACATATTTATATCACACACATATAATAAAATATATTACAGATGTTATTACCAGAAACGCTATTTTGTTTATTTGATTCTGTGAGCCTACAACCCGTTTCAATGTTTTGTTTTATTTCATTGACCATAATAAATTGAATTGACATTGCATAGACTTTTATACCACGGCTGGTCAAAATAAATGCTGGATACTTACCTATAGTTTATAACAAACATTGTTTCAAAAATATAGCATTCAGCACTTTTTCAACACATAAACACATACCTATTTCGAATATGACATGTTCTCGTCGGCCTTTTTTAAAAAAGGCAAAGAATTTTCTTCACATCAATATGTAGATAATAAATAAATTACTGTCATAGAGAATATATTTTACCTGTATGGGATTGCTTAAATGTACTTACACACCCTACGTGCTTATAGGTACAAAAACCTTTTCAAAGTAATTACTCATACGTATTTATCGAACCGAAAAATTAATAACATTTCTTATCGGAATCCAATTGGCATGTCAGTACATATTTAATCCCACGAATAATTTTCTTTGTCAACGTTACATATGACTAAGAAAAAATTAAAAATAGCCGCCGAAATAAATCAAGTTGGTATATCCTGCCAATAAAATATTTTATTACCGAGTAGACGATTCTTTAATGATTTATTTCCGCTTATAAAATGACCCATCCTACGTAATTTCCCGCCAACATTCGCTTAGAACGGGAACGCAGGATATCGCATCAGCCGGCATTTCGAGACGGCTGCATTCTATATCTACGAAAATGCACCCAGACATTTCTATAGTACATCCATCCCTCCCTTTACGAATCTAGATATATATAACTTGGGCACGCTTGGTATGACTAAGGCCCCAACATTGCTCTTTCATGCTACATTTGAAAATTTAAAAATATATTTAAAAACACTTACTTTCCGTGGTCCATTCTGCACAATGGTATCGTATTCTAAACCCTCAGACATCATTCTCACAATTTATTTAAATCACAATTGAACACTATTTTTTTTCGTATTTTTATCGGTTTAACACACGTTTTTATAGTTTTCTGTAAAGCCTGCAGAGTGTTCGAACGTAGTACCGGCACTAAATTGAACAGAGATAAATCACTGTTTCCATTAACGTATGTTATGTGAATTAGCGTTCGAATGAAAAATATTAACGTTGTGTCGGCGGACAGCCCGGGTGCAACAACCAATATCACGCCCTCAGCCTCCCTCGCTCTCCAGTGAGTGAGTATATATAAATATATAACTATGGAAAGTAGATAAACATACAATACCTACGTGTTTAATGAAAAGTACGGTCTGCCTAAGACGTTTTTGAATTCTGTCAATTTTAACGTTCCGGTGTACGTTACGCTCAAGATGAGCTTCGTTTTATTTTTACTTTAATAGTCATAATGGAGTTATTTTATATCTACTAGAATAATTATTATACATCTATATAAATAGTGTTAAGTTGAGTAGTGTGAATAAATCTTCAAAACTTACAAAGAGTAAAAATTAACTCAACTAAATTTGACAAATTAAACGCAAATGTCAACAGAAGAATGTCAACAAGTTGTGCTGTTCAGTATGTGCAAATACACTTTGAATTGAATAATAATATACATTAGTACAATAAACAATTTTTTATCGTTTAGAACGCATAATAAGACAATACAATACGAAAGTAATCGTAGTTATTAGAAACACAAAAAACTGAGGTTATATTTGTCAAAATGTGTGAAGATCTGAAACACCTGAAAATACTGAAACAGGGAGCGGAAGCAAGGCTCTATGTTTGTAACTATCTCGGAAGGCCGACATTGATAAAGGAAAGATTCACAAAAAAATACAGGCATCCTGATCTGGATACCGTAATAACCAAAGATCGGATAAAAAACGAGGCGCGTTCCATTGTACGTTGTAAAACAGCAAACATTAGAACTCCAACTTTGTACTTAGTTGATTTCGACAGACGACGTATTTACATGGAGTACTTTGAAAATAGTAAAACGGTCAAAGATTTTATAAAAAATTTGTCAAACGTTGAAAATTCGTGTATAATTGAGCAGATAAAAATTCTTGCGAAACTGATCGGTGAATCTATACGGAAGCTGCATGAGAACAACATTATCCATGGAGATTTGACTACATCCAATATGTTGCTTGTACCGAAAAATGAAAATGAAGAAATAAATTGGCTTGAAGTTGATAAATTGGATTTAGTCATGATTGACTTTGGTCTATCATTTATTGATTCTAGTACCGAAGACAAAGCCGTTGATCTTTACGTCCTCGAAAGAGCAGTAGAGAGTACAGATGTGCCACACCTCGAAGTGTTTCACGATATTTTAGAAGCATATCAGAATTTCAGTGAAAATAATACTAAAGAATTAATAAATAAATATAGAGAAGTAAGTGCTCGGGGAAGAAAGAGGACCATGGTGGGATAGTTCGTAAGCAATAAAATAAGTTTTGCTTATATCAAACCTTTTTATTTCTTTATATATATTAAAAAAACTAAAACAGAACAGCTACTGATTTTAAAAGTAAACTAATAATCCTAAAACTGGATTGCATTATAATTATAATATCTATACAAATAAATAAAATTGAAGTGTCTGTTTTTAATGGCAAAATTATAGGTTTTTTTCATGCTCACAGTCTATGAGGCCTTGGGTTTGATTATCGGACTGGGTAAAATTTTATAGGGTTGTTCTGAGAGGAAAAATAGCCTAATTTACTCCTTATATAGACAGCTACCTAGTAGTAAAATATTATTATCAAAATCAGTTATTTGCATGATGCCTGTGCCTAAAAACCAGTTTAAATATTTTTTCTCTGTCTGTCTATTTGTTCCGGGTAATCTTCAAGATAGCTGGACCGATTTTGATAATAATATTTTACTACTAGGTAGCTGTCTATGTAAGGAGTAAATTAGGCTATTTTTCCTATCAGAAAAACCCTATAAAATTTTGCCCAGACCGATAATCAATCTCGAAACCATACTACATTACTAAGGCAAAAGTTTTTAAACTCCACATGAATGAAGTCGCAGGTACCAGATAGTATGAAATAATGGGCAAGGATGACCAAATCAAATATCTTTTTTTAACCGACTTCAAAAAAAGGAGGAGGTTCTCAATTCGACTGTATTTTTTTTTTTTTTTTTTGTATATTTGTTACGCGATTACTCCGGCAATTATAAACCGATTTGAATAATTCTTTTTTTATTTGATAGGTCATACGTCAGAGGTGGTCCCATTGGCACCAGGTCAGGATCTGATGATGGGATCCTGGGGAAATCGAGGGAAACCCTCAAATTTTGTAGACATATACACTGTTTATCAGAAATTATCTTAATCTATGTAGATTTTTGCATCTAATGGTCACCATCTGATGTTGCTGAGCTGATGATGAAGCTGATGATGAATGGTTTAGGAGTATGGGATCTCTGTAACAAAATTATGTAATACCATCGAATTTGAATGTGTTTGAGTCTAATTAATAAGGACTCCGATCCTATGTGATATTCAGGGTCTGATGATGGAGACGGTAAATAGCCATGGGAACTCTGTAATAAAATAAAGCAATTCCGCCGTGTTTGTGCTCATTTGATTTGTCTCGACTAGGAGCTTCATGCTAGTCGATTTTCAACATCAAAAAAGGAGGGTTTTTGATTCGACAGTATGTTTTCTTTTTGTATGTTTGATACGCGATCATTCCGCCAATTTTGACAATCCTACATTATGTTTGTCCACGGCACCTTTTTTATTTTTTTTGTTGACGGGGTGGAAAATCCCTTCGGATCTCCGGCTCCTCGGGGACCCAGGAGCCAGGAGTATGTGGTGATTCCACTAAAAACCACCCCGACGGCCGGCCTTAGGTGTCCTACTCTGGGGAGGACCCGGACCATGTTATCTCAGGTCCTCCCCGAATTGACACCATGCCGGCCATTCCATTCCCTACCGCAGCAATCAATCTGCCACCAGAGGTCCCCACTCTCTGGCGGCCTTGTCCACGGCACCTAGGATACACGGATACGATAAACATTTTTAGAGTTGGGCTGTGAGTGTGAGCGTTTATTTATGACCTTAAAAATCACACTTACTTCCCACAAAAAATTAAAAAATAAAATTATTTAAAAAAAAAATTGAAAACTTTAAACAACTAAAAAGCAATTTTAATTACTTACTTCAAACATTCAACAAAATTATTGATACTTAGAAAACCTACCTATTTACAATTTTTAATCAGTTATTTTTCAACAAACCAACAAATAAAAAAAATACGCGATTACTCCGCCAATTATGAACCGATTTGAATAATAATTATTAAAGAAAACTAGGTACCTAATTGTTGGAAAGATCACGCAAGCGTGTCATTTCTGTTAATGATTTTTCGTCGTGGGGTCGATTTAATAGCTTATTTGCATCCAAATCAGATATGGCAATGCCATTTAAGGTTTTGACGCGACTGAGGGCTACATAAATCTGTCCTTTAGCGAAATTCTTCTTTCCTAAATCGATCACTGCTTTATCAAGGGTTGTACCCTGAAGTTTGTGAACGGTTACTGCCCAGCTTAAGATGAGCGGTAACATTCTTCGTTCGACATCTCCATATCCTCTTTGCGCTTGAAATGTTGTACAAGCAGGTGAGATTGCTACACAACCGTCATTATCTTTTGTTCTATGGCCAACAGTCGCGTCATCAAATTTTATAAGCACAGATTCAGGCAACTCGCCTTCCTCCAATTGATCTCTTCGGAGAGCAGGCCATTTAATTTTCTTAACAATGCCCATGGCACCATTCACGAGCCCATCAGATACGGAAATATTCCGCCTTAACATGACTCGCGATTCGATACTCAACTTTATAGTTGGCAAGAAACCACCGCAGTTATTAATGTCTTTAGGAATAACATTTTCTGGTGGCTTCCTACCATAGGTTGCCGCCTCTCGAGACTCATCTACAGCATTTATTGTGTACATGCGGTGCGCTTTCGCATTTTCAACGGTCATTCTTTCATTATATGTATCTACTTGTCTAACAGTAGGGAATATACGGACAGCAACCCCATCAGCAAAATCTCCTGACAAAGGCACGTGTCGCCGCTCACAAAGTAACTCCAACTGAGATGTCGTTAATTCACCAACCCGCAAGCTATTTAAGAGGTCTATGAACTCAATGTCATTTCGTTGTCGCATATTTATCGTAAGTTCACAAAATGAGAACTGCTGCCATAAGTTAACTTCGCCCGAAAACCATGGCGGTTGAATAAAACACCAATGCCCTTTTACCGGTGGGAGTTGAAGTATATCACCAAAAAGCAATATTTGCCCCCCGCCGAATAATTTGTCATTATTTTTGTATTCTTGGAGACACAGGTGTATAATTCGCAAATTTTCATATGACACCATTGAAATTTCATCTATGATTAACCAGTTTATATGGCGCTATTTACGTCTCTCATTCTCTAGCTTTTGTCCAGTAATTTTTTTGTACGTCATAGTATTTCCTTTTTCAATTGGAAGTGAGAATATTGAGTGCAATGTTTTTCCAAATATTTGACGTGCGGCTACACCTGTTAGGGATCCCACCTCAACAAATTTAGCCTTGAGCAATACGTCAACTGTTGGTGCATAACACCGTTTGATATGTTCCACGAGTAATTTCAAGACGAAAGACTTTCCACTTCCTGCACCGCCAGTGATGAATAACAATAATTGACCTTCTTGTCCCTGCAAATCCATTTCTACAGCCGCAGAAACTTTTTGGAAAAGGTCTCTCTGTTGGACGTTTAGACTTCGAATATTACCCAAGAAGACTTCATCTGGCATAGCAGACCTTTCGCATACATCTTCACAATAATTGTCATCGTTATTCACGATTTGTTCACCGCCACAAATCAAAGGAGCATCAACATCGTGAATGTTACGGGCAGCGTTGAGCGCGACTGCTTGGGCAAGGGCCTGTTGTATCATTTGTTCTGCGTGAGCAAACTCTTCTGCGCTTACGTTGCCATGTAATGGTCGGAATTCTCTTTGCCGCCTAATAAAACACTCCTCAGCGGTTTCCTCTTCGAGTAGAAGTTCACTTTCATCACGAAATGGTACATGACATACTAACAAGCTGTAGTAATAGGCTTCCTTGTCGCTGTTCAATGTAAAGTATCGTGTGCGCAATACTGCAGACTTGTTTCTTATACGCATCCGCGTGTTATCTCTTAGCCGTATAAATCTTGCCGGCGTAACATCTTCACTCCTTAATTCTTCATCACCATCGTCTTCGTTCCATATTAAGTTAGACACCGTTTCAAAGCGCACAGCGAATTCGGCGAGACTTAAGTCTTCTAGTTCATCTGGGCGTAATACATATCGATCAAAAATGTTGTTGTAAATGGATGTATCATCACCGTCGAATCGTAGAAGTCTGAAACGTTCATTTGGCTTACAACTGTTTATGAAGACTGTTTTTCGGGAAGACATTTTTAGCGGTAAATGACACAATCTATATGCGCATTCCGGAGCACTTACAAGGCGTTGAGATAGAATGGCCATTGAGACTGCAAATAACTGATTCCACACAGGACCACCTTGCCTCTTGGCCTTCACAACGGCTTCTCGTACAACTTCACCTGTATCATGGGGCTCACATTTACTTGCGTAGCAACATAGTATGCAACTGCTGTTACGTTACCGCACGGCTGCACATCAATGTTCCCTTTCCATAGACTTAATAGAGTAGGATTGTAATTGTTTACCATACTTTCGTCTACAGTTCGTTTCAAACAACAAAATCGTCCATTGTTTGATAATACTTCATCAGGACCTAAGCAAATAGTAGTCTCATATGCGGGCCTCGGGAAACCAAAACGACAATGACTATCGTTGCGGTTTTTGTAACACGTGGCCGTGTGTTTGTGTATTTGCACGTCTTTTATTAATTTCTGCAATACAGAATCATTGGGCATTAAAGAGCATGAAACCACCCTTTCGATGACTTCGATACCCTCCTGAGTCGAGAAATCTGGGATATTGTCACACCACACCAACATGTGAAGGTGTGGACTTCCGCGATTTTGAAACTCTATTCTATACCAAAAGTCCACAACTGGACCACCTAAGCAGTCTGGATCGCGTTTGAGGAATCGCATCAGAGCGTTCACGCGAACCGAAAATTGTCGAGAGACAACCACGGGATATTTCTGTACCAATTGCAAACGCTCGGGGAAAGACAGGTTCTCTGCTTGATTTACATCACGACCATCTGCGATGAGTAAGGCTTTGGTCATGTCTGGCCAATTAAGGTCGTTGCAAGAGAACGTCATGAACCACGTAGGAGGCCCCAAAGTTCGGACCATTGCAGTAAGTTCAGAGCAACATTTCTGCCAATAAGACGCCGATCCTCTGATATTCCTCATAGTAAGATGCATGTTATCTATGAGTCCTTG